CTCCGAGGCCATTTTCATATAAAACTTAGACCGAACGACACGATTTCGATATAATCTTACTGATATGAACTTAACTACATAAAAAGAGGGTAAAGGAATGTATACCCTTCAGTTCGATCGAAGAATGTACGATGATGTGCGTGCGAATCCGGGGCTTGAATTGATATCCGAGTGCTTCTTCTTTGCTTCCGCAATGCTTAGCTATTTTTATGTAATTTTTCTAAAATATTATCCTCACTATTTCTCCCTCGAATATATGCTGAAGTTAGGCTGAACTTGGTGCATGGAATTTGCATGAAAACAATGTCCACGCTCGGTAATTTAAAGGAGTAAAAACCGTTGGGAAATTTAGGGTCAAAGAGGTGAAAGATGACATTGTTTCTCTTGACAACAAGTGTCCCAAATGTGGCTGAGGTGTTGGTGATTTTGGCTTAGTCATCGGCCGAGGTGGCGGCCATGCACGGCTTAGTCATCACTTATGCGTCCGTGTCGTGCCATGTGTGCAAGCTACTAGGTGACTCACCACACCACTTGCACACCCAACACTAATCTTGGAAGGCAACCTTAAGGAAGGGGATTTTGGACTTCCTTTGGTTGATCATGGTACTTAGTGTAATATAAGCGTGTGCTTAAGGAGCTTAATGGCGCGCGCTATGCGCGGTGCGCGACGATGCGCGCGGTGCGCGTTTGCGTGCGCGGTTACACGCACGGCTATGCGCAACGTGCGTGTATAGTGCGCCTTGAGTGCGTTTACGACTTCGAACTTAGTTCCGAACATCCTTAACATTTAATAATTAATCCCGATTAATAATGTCCGTTTATAAAATAAACGGTTCGGAAATTAATTATCAAATTTGACTCGGTTAATAATTAACCGGATAAACTTTTCGACTTAACGTCGAACGTATTCGCTGAAAATGAACGGAATTAATAAAGGATAATACATCATTTTCATTAATAAGAAATTGGGTTATTACAATCTACCCCCCTTAAAATATTTCCGTCCTCGGAAATATAAAACAAAACATATATATGTACATGAAAGATATACACATCAAAACTGAAAATCGGGTAAACGAGCACGAATGTCAGCCTCCTGCTCCCAAGTGGCTCCATGGCGATCCCACTATATACGAACGAGGAAAACATCACGCTTCCGGAGCCGTCGAACTTGTCGGTCCAACACAGCTACCGGTCGCTCCTCGTAAGATAAGTCTGGATGAATCTCAATGTCAGTATGAGGAATGACATGATCGGGGTCGCACACGTAATTGCGTAACATAGATACATGAAAAACATTATGAACACTGGATAACTCGGGAGGTAAGGCTAAACGATACGCAACATCGCCTACTCACTCGAGTACTTTGAACGGGCCAATGAACCGAGGGTGTAACTTCCATCTCTTCCCGAATCGAATGACTCCGCGAAATGGACTAACTCTGAGAAAAGCGTGCTCGCCAACCTCGAATTGGATATCTCGTCGATGATGATCGGCGGTTGATTTCATTCTACTCTGAGCTGTTCTGAGTCTCTGTCGGATTAACTCGACTTGTTCTGCTATTTCCTCGATCAATTTCAGACCGAGTACTCGACGTTCACCGACGTCGTCCCAATAAAGAGGGGAACGACATTTACGACCGTATAGTGCCTCATAAGGAGCCATCTGAATAGAAGAATGATAACTGTTGTTGTACGCAAACTCGACGTATGGCAATAACGACTCCCATTTAGCACCCCTGTCAACAACCAAAGCGCGCAACATATCCTCCAGCGTCTGTATAGTCCGCTCTGTCTGTCCGTCAGTCTCGGGATGGTAGGCTAAACTGAATGCTAGCTTCGTACCCATCGCCTCGTCTAAACTCTGCCAGAATCTACTGGTGAATCTGGGATCTCTGTCTGACACGATAGTAACAGGTACTCCATGGAGTCGAACGATCCCACGGACATAAATCTCAGCCAACCTATCCAAAGACATACTCATCGATACTGGCAAGAAATGAGCAACCTTAGTCAATTTGTCGACCACGACCCAAATAGCGTCGTGATGTTCAGACGACCTCGGTAACCCCGTGACAAAATCCATCGCAACCTCCTCCCACTTCCACTTCGGAATCGGTAGTGGTCGTAGAAGGCATATGGGACTCTTATGCTCGGCTTTGACCTGTTGACATGTTAAACATCTTCTTACAAAGTCAGCTACATCTTTCTTCAATCCTCGCCACCAAAACGACCTTTTCAGGTCATGATACATCTTTGTACTTCCTGGATGGGCTAGGTATGGTGCGGTATGAGCCTCAGATAAAATCTCCTTTCTCAATGCTTCGACTTTCGGCACCACGATCCTGCCACGAAACTCCAAGGCCCCATCAGTGCCTCGGTGAAAACCCTCGACGCCTCCGACACGAACCTTGGAATCAATCGCACGAATAAACTCATCTGAAGTCTGCTCTTGCCGGATTCTCTCACTCAGCGTCGGTTGAACCTGCATAGAACTCACACTCCCTGTACTGGCTGTAGGAAGTGCATCCATCACCTGAATCTGCATCCGGGCGAACTCCTGAATCAACTGGCTCTGCTGAGTAACAACGTATGTCAAGTCACCCTTCACCTTGCGGCTTAGGGCATCAGCAACAACATTCGCCTTTTCCGGATGGTACTGAATTGTACAATCATAATCCTTGACGAGCTCTAACCAACGGCGCTGTCTCATATTGAGCTACTTCTTAGTAAAGATATACTGTAAGCTCTTATGATCGGTGAAAATCTCGCATCGACCGCCGTAAATATAATGTCGCCAAATCTTAAGGGCATGAACAACTGCAGCTAATTCTAAGTCGTGCGTTCGGGTAGTTCTGTTCATGTGGTTTAAGCTGGCGTAAAGCATAAGCAACGACTTGGCCATCTTGCATAAGTACACATCCCAAACCCTGCCTCGAAGAATCACTATAGATGGTGAAACTCCGAGAAGGATCCGGAATAGTCAACACCGGTGCCGTCGTAAGCCTCCTTTTCAGCTCCTGAAAACTCGACTGACAACGGTCTGTCCATTCGAACTTTACAGACTTCCTGGTCAGCTGAGACAAAGGGGGGGCAATCTTCGAGAACCCCTCAATAAATCTGTGATAATAACCTGCAAGGCCGAGGAAACTACGAACCTCGGACGTATTCTTCGGTGCTGACCAATTCTTAACTGCTGCGATTTTGGAAGGATCAACTTCAATACCTGCTTGAGTAATAATGTGGCCAAGAAAAGCCACTCGCTGAAGCCAAAACTCGCACTTGGAGAACTTTGCATATAACTTTTCACGTCTAAGGGTCGAAAGAACGGCCCTCAGATGCTCCTCATGCTCCTTTTGGCTCTTGGAATAAATAAGAATATCGTCGATGAAGAAAATAACGAACTGATCGAGAAAAGGATGAAATACACGGTTCATCAAGTCCATAAATACTGCCGGGGCATTAGTGAGGCCAAACGACATAACTACGAACTCGAAGTGACCGTATCTCGTACGAAACGCTGTCTTGGGTATGTCCGACTCCTTGATTTACAGCTGATGGTAGCCTGAACGCAAATCAATCTTGGAAAACACGCAGGCACCCCTCAACTGATCAAATAAATCATCGATTCTGGGAAGAGGATATTTATTTTTGATCGTCAACCGGTTAAGATCCCGGTAGTCGATACACATACGCATGGATCCGTCCTTCTTCTTGACAAAGAGAACGGGTGCTCCCCAAGGAGAAACGCTCGGTCGTATAAAACCGAGATTCAGCAACTCTTGAATTTGGGTCTTTAATTCTTGCAACTCTTTAGGCGCCATTCTGTATGGTGCCTTTGAAACGGGTCCGGCTCCAGGGATGAGATCAATAGAAAATTCCACCTGTCGGCTAGGTGGACCTCCGGGAAGCTGGTCTGGAAACACGTCCACGAACTCACGAACAATAGGAATTTCATGAGGTGAACGTGCCCTTGGCTCATCTCTAACGAGGCTCACAAGGTAACCCTGGCAATCACCCCGTCGAAGGATCTTTCTGGCTTTCGCCATAGAAATAACATGAGGCAGAGTACGAGTCCTGGAGCCGTAATAAGTGATCTGATCATCTCCCAGAAGATAAAGAGTAATCTCCCGGTCGTGACATTGGATATCTGCGTGAAAACGTGTTAGCCAATGCATACCGAGTATGAGGTCAAAATCCCTCATCTCGATAACATAAGCATCAGTAATCAGAATACGGCCGCCGATGGAAAAGCTGAGATCGGTGGCTCTAGCGTCAGTCACTATCTTTCGTCCCGAGGCTAAACTCACCTCGAGAGGATCTACAGCGGTAGTAGAACGAACCTCAATAGCTTCGAGACATCGACGTGATATAAAAGAATGGGTCGCTCCGGTATCAAATAAGGCATAGACAGGCACATCATTAGGAATAATCATCCCGGACATGGTACCTGGGTGCTGGTCAGCCTCCCTCTGGTCAACTGCAAAGACGCGGGCCTGCTGTCTGCCGCGTGGCTGTTTCTGGGGTCGTGGTGGCTGCTGCCTGGGCTGTTGTTGTTGAAGTTGCTGTGGTGGTTGACGTTGTTGCGGTTGTTTTTGCAGTCGTTCAGGACAGTTGGGGCTGATGTGGCCTGGCTGGCGGCAAAGGAAACAGATGTTCTGGCCCACAAAGCATTCTCCGCGGTGGTGTTTTCCACATGTTGGGCAAGCTGGTATTTGTCTGGGACGGGTCCTCCGGTCATCAAGAGTGGCTCTGAACTTCCTCTTCTTCTGGTTCTTTGACGGTTGGGCAATTTTTGGCTGGGCTGGTGGCTGAGCAATTGGCTGAAATGATGTCTGGGCGGCTTCTCGTCGGATACTGGCATCGACTTCTTGTGCAATGGCAACAGTGCGGGCATAGGTCTGGACGCCGTGACCTACGATGTTGTGGCGGACTGCTGGGCGAAGTCCGTCGGTGAAACGATGGGCTCTCTTTGCCTCCGTACCCACAAGATCAGGTACAAAGGCTCCGAGACGGGTAAACTCTCTCTCGTACTCGTCAACAGAACGAGTACCCTGGGTGAGTGCCAAGAACTGGCGCTCCATATCTGCTCGGTAGTACGAGGGATAATACTTCTCTCGGATCAACTCCTTGAATTGGTCCCACGTACAACCTTCTTTCTCGTCGGGACGCATACTCCAGTAGGCATTCCACCAGAGTCGGGCATCACCGGTCAGCTGGATCTGGGCACATAACATACGGTAACGATCAGGGCAATTCATGACCTCAAAAATCATCTCGAGGCCCTGAACCCACTCATCTACTATACGAGGATCTCCTTGGCCGGAAAACTTTTCTGGATGGTAGTCGCGAAATTGGGCGACCACTGTGGCCTGTGGGAGTTCCTGGTGATCTGGTTCTCTACGAGGAGGCATCTGAACATTGAAATATTTAACATGATTAATTAACATAAACGATTAACTGACTGATTGCTTAAGTACACAAATTTCTTGACGAGTCGCTAAATAACCCGAGAATACTAAAGTAAAACTATCAAATAACTGGGATAATCGACTATGTTCTGAAAATACTTGAGCATCTTACTGGTTTCTAGGGTCAAATATCTGATACCCTCTTACTGAGCATAGACTTAAGCATTCATTTAAATATATATAAACTATAACTCAGCACTTACCTGTAGTCGGCGAGGCGTGAGCGTAGCGTGGTCGGGTCTTTTCTGAAAATTTCTTACTTAAAAAGTATTAAGATACACGAAAACGTGCTCTGATACCAATTTGTAACACCCTGCTAGCTTACTAAAATCAGGTGCGATTTTCACAAATTCTTTCTAAAGTTTACGTTTTAGTTTGCGAAACATATCTCGGGATGCTACACAAAATATTTCTTTTCTAAAAATCCGTTAACTTTATTAATTTTAAACCCATTTATGAAAAACGGATTGTCTTTTATAAAACAAGCGTGTGATACTGTATAAAATTTGACCCGAAGGCTCGGATCATCGTCTGAAAATCTACACGCTAGTTTGAAAGTCTGAAAAGATCAGCGGAAGTAAAACGTGGCAAATATATACATGTCAACAGTCTGCAAAAATATATACATATTTACATGGACTGAACCGACGACCACCAGCTCCACTCACTCCTCCGGACCGACCCTGTCACCTGAAAAAGATCATAATAGTGGGAGCGTGAGTACTAAAATTACTGTACTCCGCAGAAACTCATACTGAATAAAACAGTAATAATAATTGCATCATCA